TTAATATCACTGCGACAATAACTTTTTAGAAAATTTCAAAGATATGATTGTATTCTATAACTATTAAGCTTTCAGAAAATGTACAGGTTGATGGGGTTTCCTTTCAAAGCGCCAGCGTAAGAACGCGATTTCCAAACACTGTCAATCCACCTACCATGATACCTTAAAAACATACCAAAAATTGTTTTTATGTTACCTTTTACCAAGTAGTTTTAAAATCTTTATGTGTTTCCTTGTAAAGCGAATTCTAAGAGAATTTGTGAAGAAATATCCTTTCCTTCTTTTTTCAAAAAATGCTAATGTCAGCATTTTGCTGAGATTCAAGGCTTATTATCTCGAAAAAATGCGAGGCTACCCCCCCCCCCCTTTTTGTTTTTCTTTGTGGATACCAATAGCCCTTGCAAAGATCTACTTTTTCTACATGGTCCTAGTCTGACGCAAAACCTTTGTATTTAGTAGGCACTGTCCTTATAGGGACCTTTAGATTGGACTACGAGTACGAGTTTCGAATTTCATACCAGTGACGTTTCCAGAGCTGTCGCAGTACAAGTTGGTTTAGGTGAGGTTTAGGTAGAGAGGGCAGGGTACAGGATGAGATGGGTATGTGACATGATAATGTGAAGTTCGCAAACTACAATGGAATTGAAAAGTCCTCATACTCACACTCAAATCTAAAGTCATCTAATCTCACAGTATAGACATATTGAGAACAGGATGAGGGCTGCTTTTAGATAACTAGCCTTTGTGTATAATTAAAAATTGTATGTGTCCATTCCTCTTCTCAGGCTTTGTTCATATTGATGACATCAAACTACCAGAGAGTCCTATATATGACTTCATTCCAAATCAGAATGAGTGTCAAGTGGAACCAAAATGATTGAGAGTATATCAGACCCTGTGCTGGTAATGTGTTCTTTTTAAGTTTTCTCCTTCGAAAGTTGTTACAATACCCGACGAACCAATGATGCTGTTGTTTGGTGATTTATGAAAGGGATATTTTCTGATTTTGAAAAATATTACGCATTTCCGGGAACAAATGTTTTGATGCAGTGGTGATTAAAGTTTGTGTTTGCTCTATTAAAAGTTTGTGTTTTGTATTTTTCTCCTTATCGACAAAATAAGTACTTGCTGAACTTCCCACCACTACTACTACTACTACTACTACTACTACTAGTTTCCATCTCAGCAATAAATTGTGAAGATATTAAATAAAGAATACCATGTGGTCAATTTTACGATTTTTTACTGGACTTTAAAGAGTTATTAAGGCGGCTCAAAACAGTTTCCAGCACTTTCCAAGACTTTTGGAAAGAGGTCAATATAACCACTCTTTATCAGTTGATGCTGCAATCGTGGTATCAAACAACTGCCCAGTCATTGGTGAACACGTTGTTATCATTTTCGTGACACAATAGGTTACCATAGCAACGGCATGACCTGCTAAAAACACCCTTAATTATAGCTCTAGGGGTTTATAATTTAAAAACGGCGCAGTGATTGTTTTTTATATTATCAAATTTTGATAAGCAGGATAAGACCCACCTTTTGCAAAGTTTAAATAAATTCTGTACATAGGGTTCAGAGCCACCTTAAATTTTCAAAATTTTAAGGTGGCTCTGGCCCTTTGTCATCATGCACTGCACGCATGTCGCATTGGTTTTGTTGGCCACTGTATTTTCTATGGCATGGTGTAACGCTCTCTCATGGAATACCATGGAATACCCCATGCGCACGAGCCTTAAGGCTCGTGTGTATACCGAGAAAATCAAAGGAGCTCGCACGCGTGGGATATTCCAGGTTATACCACTCGAAAGCGTTGCATAACTAGTAATGTTTGGCTATTTCAGCAGACCTCATGCTTTGTTCTGTTTGTTATTTGAATTTTCGTGTAGCAAGGAGGAGTTTACACGATCGCAGTAAATTTTCTTGTTGTACACTATCTGGCAATGGCAGTCTGGTATGATAAACGACAGACACCAAGTAGTAATGTAGTAGTAGTAGTTATGTTGAAGTCTGAAAAAGTACATGAACTGTTAAATAATCAAGTTGCTGCTATCGTTTCCTTATTCATATTTTAATGATGACAAGTTGTAGTTTAAATATTGCTGCTCATTTTACATACAGAATGAATCTGGCAGCGGCACCGACTAACAGATTCAATTCATTATTAGGGTCTAAGAGGGTACACATGAATCTTGCATTGCATTCGCAATCAAACTTGAGCTGTTATATTGGCTACATCTATCATACATAATCTTTCTTACAGTGAAACTGATTTCACATGTGTTATGACCTGACCTGATAAAACAATCATGCAGTTGTTAAATTGGATTAGCAAAGTTGGCAACAGAATAAGAATGCGCTATTCCTTGACTCGACATGTCAGACGTGCCTATTACTTTTTGTTTATCCGTGAAATGATAATTAGCGTTTTGAGCAAAAAAAAATCGTTCTTCCTTTTTTCACCGGATATTTAACATTATACCATTTATCTCCAGCAATGAGGAAGAAACACATCGCCCTATCTGGAGGAACCCACAGGTTCAGCGTCTAACAACATCTTTGGCTCTGAGCGACCTTGGGTCGCACTGTAACCAAGAAGAATGGTTGAAGGAACTCGAGGACACTAGTCCCGCCAATGAAGCTAAAGGACAAAATACAACAAGTGCTAGTCGCACGAAATTGTTGTAGAACGGACGCGATTCCGAAACTTCCACAATGAAAGAGTCAAGCGCAAATGTAGATGTTGACAATGTAGACCTCGAGATTTCCTCTTTTTCATGCTTTTTGGCTTCACGAGGCATGGTTTCAAAAAATGTCTGGAGAACGAAGGAGC